GTTGATTTTAATATCCAAAGGAAACATGAAGGAAAATGTTACTCAGTGTAAGACCTCTCACAGTCTGGCCCTTTTCTCCTTCTCCAGCTTTGAGGGTTGTATATCGCCTTGTTGTTTTCCTCTGATTTCCTTAATTTTCCACACTGCAAGGAGAATCCATCGCTCATGCTGTACAGTCCCTATGTTCCTCAAATTCCTCTAAAATCAACCAGCAGGGAGTGAGAATCTATGTACCAGGCATTTTCCTGTTTTAGTCATTGTTTCATTGAACGCTCACAACCCCAAAGGGTACATATATTTGTTATCCTCATTTCATAAAGGAGAAAACTGATGTTTTTTAGTTGAATTTATTGGGGTGACATTGGTTAATAAAATTATATTGGTTAATAAAATTATATAGGTTTTGGGTATACAATTCTATAATACATCATCTGCATATGTATTGTGTGTTCAAGTCAGTCTCCTTCCATCACCATTTAAAGTGGTAGGTGAGATGCCTGAAGTCACACACCTAGTAAGTGGATGGACTTAATTCACCCTCCCAAACACTATGCTGTGGTGCTTAGTGTCAGGATGTGCATTTTCTAGCTCGTCTCCTTGGGCACCATATGCTTCTCTCGTCGGGGGTCATCCATTCTAATATAAGTGCTTACATTGCACAAAGTGAGAACTCTGCAAATATTTGCTGAACAAATGAATCTCAAGTGGGGCTCTAGGTTTCTTGTTCTAAATCTAAGAAGGAGGGCACGAGCACAAAGAAACAAAGAAAGAATGCTTGAGCCATATCATATTATCTTTCAGGGGTGGAACAGAGGTAGGGCAATTTCATATACTTATTGAGATGAACAGATTGGAAAAAAACCCAGTCAGCATCCACTTGGAGGATGTGAAAATGAGGTGGTGCGTAAACCCACCGTGGACGTGTGGGAGAGCACGAGGCTTCCTTACGTGGCAGGAGGCGGTCACAGGAGATNAGGTGGTGCGTAAACCCACCGTGGACGTGTGGGAGAGCACGAGGCTTCCTTACGTGGCAGGAGGCGGTCACCGGAGACACATTTAAGAAGGGTGTAAATTAGCATGGAGAGCCCAGGATGGTGGCCTCGGAAACATTAGTTGGCTTCTGAAGGCTTTGGATAAGACTAAGGTCAAACTAAGCATTTCTGTGCGCTTTAAAAAATAACAAGAACATCTGGGTTTAAATGCTCCTTTTGTCCTAGCCTCCATCAATAAGCCACCACTTCAAATGGGGAGCGGCAGGAGCGGGGCTGCTGGAAATGTGGCTGCGTCCTTACTGTGGAGGAGAGGTTAATGGGTCAAGAGCCCGAATCAAACACACCCCAAGCGGCCCAGGTTGGCCCTCACGGGTGATGACTTTATAGCGAATTGTCGTCATGCAACTCAGGACCCCGCGATGGCAGGTTCTGCTGTGACGGTTCTCTCCGGAAACGCGTGCAGGTTTGTCTCTGGGAGGCCCGGGAGAGGGTTTGGCAGAATGGTCACGGTGGTGCCCGTCAAAGCACGTGGTCCTGGAGAGGATGGGCAGCTGGGCCGAACATCGGCGTCTTTAGGGTTAGGAAGCGCTAGTTGCTCTTGGCTCCGCTACACTGGGACTGTCCCTCCTCCCAGGGCCACTGCCTGTCAGGGCCGACTGGTGGGGGCACTCGGGCGCACTGATCGGTACCCTCTGTGTGCTTTGCATCCTGCACCCTGGGATCCCGAGATGTGGAGAGACGGGCCCCAGCCTGATGTAGGGGGAGGGCACACTGATTAGGAGCTGGGTCTCAGGAGGGGACCACCGTCAGTTCAAATCTTGCCTCCTGCTTTCCGGTTGTGAGAGCCGGAGCACATTGCTTTGCCGCCTCAGTTTCCCCCGCACATGAGCATGAGCGTGGGGGTGCTCCGAAGGGCAGTGGGGAGGGCAGAATGGGATCCTGCATGTCAAACGGGCAGCAGTTTGGCTCACAGCAGACACTCAGATAGTAAGGATCACTGCCAGCTGCCACACCCGAGCAGAGGCTGGAAACAGTGCCCTTAGCGTCAGAGCGAGGAGCCTCAGGCTTGAGCCGCTCTGCTCTGAGAAAAGTCGGGCGGCCTCACCGAAGGGCCCAGAGGCCTTTCCTCAGCACCACTTTTCCAGGGGAAACTCCTGCCCATCTGTGGGCAAGGACGTGGCTGCGAGGACAGGGCTTTCCCTCTAGTGGTCAGGGCCTAGGAAAATTAGTCTCTCCTCTTCCCAACACACCCCACCCGAGTCTGGGACCCTCAAGGTAAAACATCTACCCCAACACAGGGAGAAAATTCATAGAGAGTCACCCTGGGGGTAAAGAGGACTGCAGAAATCCACGGGGAGGCCAATCCTGCCTACCCGGAGCAGCAACGGGCCAACCCCCCACGCACAGGCTCTCGTCTCACTTTGTGGGGGTGGAACACCCTGGGCCACTGCGCTCCATCTCAGTTCCAGCCCATCTGCCGGGTTCCCCTCCCGACAGTTAGTGCCCTGGGGCCCTTCTCCCAGGCAGACACAGTGATGGGCTCTGAGGGGTGAGCAGTCAGCTGCCCGGCATCTGCTCAGCCAGTGCCCCCAACCTGTGCGCCGTTCCCAGGGCGCCCTGCTTCTCTGGGTGGTTGCTGAGACCCCATCTCCATAACAGGCACTTTGAGATCACACGTGGACACACACACACACACACACACACACACACACACACACACACACACAGTGTCTTCCCTGACAGGGAGGTCGTGCAAATGAGTGAAGCCAACTAAGTGTGAGACTAGTGGGGAGGCCTGGGGTTGTGATGACCGGAAACCTTATGAATGATTCAAAAGAGAATTTTCTCATTTTCGAAACGCTTCCAGCTGGGCGCAGTCTGTCCGTGGCCTGTTTACTCATGTTTGGTGGTGGCAGTGCTCTGCCTTTGTCCGCTCTGTCTGTGGCATGGGGCTGGGTGTGGGGGTGGGCAGCTTGGCCTGTGGGACCACTGGGCCTCCTAACGAAGCCTCACCCACAGGGGCCTGGGAGAAGGGGGAGGGGAGCTCAGCCAGCACCCATGCAGGACACACTGTGGGGCCACGTCCTGCTGGAGTCCCCTGGGGCCTTGAACCTGATCTCTGACAGTTACAGATCCTGCCTGCCAGAGGGGAAGGAGCCCAGGGACGAGGCCAGTGGGTAGGTGCTGCCTGGTCCCTGCAGGTGACTCTCTGGATGGCCTTGGGCCACATGGTTTCCTAGCCTCTGGGGAACCACACTCCTCCCCACAGTGGGGCCAGGGGCTGCTGTAGGTCCCCCAGAGTTTCTGCAAATTGACAGCCTCTGTCTCAAGCCTTATTTCCTCTCTAGCTGTGATGCCCAGGTAAATGAGGCCTGGACTTCTCAACAGAAACTTCACAAAATAGAGGATTAAAGGAATAAAGAAGCTGAAAATCTTATACACTGGAAGCAGGCCAAGGGTTCAGCGACACTGGGAGAAAACCTGAGATGTGCCCCAGAGCACAAAGCCCCTCTCCCTAGTTTCCCACCTGCTCCAAGCACTGTAGAAAGCCCCAGCAGATATTGAAAAGCCTGGCCGGTAGACGGCAACCGTGGCCCACTTTTAGCCTGTATCCCATATCAAAGCCGAGTGGAGGCCCGTCCTTAGCTCATCTAACCAGGCTCTCAGAGAGCAATTCCAGACCCTTCGTGGTGACTACTGGGCGGGGCTTGCTACCCAGTGAAGCATGCAGCTCTTTGGTTGAGTCCTGGCCTCGAGGAAAGTCAAGGGACCTGGGCTCCAGGCCGGCTCTTTTTTGACCTACAGTGTGACCTTGGGTAAGGTCATTGCCCCAATTTGAGCTCAGATGCTCCATCTTATAACAGGATGGGTGAGATCGGATCATCTCAAACTGCCCTTTCCATGCGAACGCAGGGCTTACATGCTGCAGCCCCCACTGGCCAGTCTACCAGCGAGCCTGGCCCGGCACTAGGGAATGACATGGGTCCCCATAGGCTCCCCCCAAGAGGTTTAACCCCAGTCCACCTAGCCCTGGCCAGTTCATGCACCCTTGATCTTCCAAAACACCTGGCCAGCAGGCCCAGTCATCTCTGCTGCCAGGCCAGAGCTCAGCCCCAGAGCCCAGGTGGTCCTCCCAAGGTCACACATCGGCAAGTGACAGGGCTGAGGCTGGAACCAGCACTGTGTGAGTCTGAGCTGGGGGACGCTTCCCATTCACCAAGATCCACGCATATGACTTAGTGTAGTGGTGGAGAAAGACTTGATGAGCAGTGGGTGTCTCCTCCTTGCTCCCAAGGGACAGTGAGACCCAGAACTCAGAGCCCAGGATGCTGCTGCTCACTTCCCCCGAACCCCCAGACCCTGGCCCTGTGGGGAGCATGGGGCTAAGGCTCAGGGTTTGCCTGGGGAAGCGAGCAGGAAGCACTCAGGGTGGTGGTCGCACCGGTTCCGCTCCTTCTCTCCTCCCGCCAAGTTGAGCAGCCCTGGGCTCAGGCAAGTGAGGGAGAGGAGCCCAGCACGGGGAGCCATCCCCCCAGGGCATTCAGGGAAGCCCGAGATCTCCATAACCACCCTCTAGCTCAGCCTGCGGGAGCGCTGGGGATTCTCTCCCCACCACAGGAGGCTGTGGTTTGAATAAAGCCAGATGTGCTCTGCTGACCATTTTCATAACTCTACAGTGAGGCACCCAGCCTTTTACACCTTCACCTTCGGCCCCCACCCCACCCCCACCTCACAACAGCCCTCCGGGGGTGGGGCAGGTCCCCACACGCCTTTGGAAGATGAGGACGCTGAGGGCTCCCAAGGCCCTTTGGTTCCCAGCCCCAGGCTTACTGCACCGGCTGCTGCCCTGCAGAGCTCTGTTTCTTGGGGTCTTGGGAAAGAAAGTGAAGGGCAGATGTGGTGAGATGTGCTGCCCAGCCCCGGCCAGCTGGCTTCCACCTTTGGGGCAGCCCTGTCTGCTCTGCCCAGCGTGTGGGAAGGAGACCGGGCAGGGAGGTGGGGTCCTACCTGCAGCAGTGGCGATGCCCAGGAGCCGGCAGGTGTATTCCAGCCCGGTCCAGAACCCCTGCAGCTTCATGGTGCTGGGGGCGAGGGCAGCGTCCCAACAGGGCAGGCAGCAGGGCTCTGGCCTGAGATGCTCTCAGGAGTCCTATGTGCAGCTGAGGCTGTGGCTGCCAGCTCGGGCCCTCGTGCCCCAGGGCCCTGCCCTCACAAACCAGTTCCAGCCACTGCAGCCTGGCCGAGGTGTGAATAGAGCTCACCGTCCTGGCTTGGCTGTCTGTGTCTTTGCCGGCCACTCAGCTTAATCATTACCTTGGAAAAATGTCCCCACTACTTTTAGCAGCTGCCGTGGCCTGGGTGGCAGCCTGAGATCAGGCCGATTAGGGCTGGGCTGGAGGCAGTCAGCCTGGAGCTGGCAGTTAACTGTTTCTGGCTGGGAGGAGGGAGCCTGCCAAGGAGCCAGTCTAGGCCCTTCCTTACCGGGCAGCTCAGAGACAGTCACACCTGGGCCTCAGGCCGGGGCGTCCAGAGAGTCCGTGTCTGGGGGTGACGGTGTGCGTGTAAGTCCCTATTTGTGCATGTGTTGGAGCGAGGGATGTCTCTTTCAATCACCAGCAGAAACAACTTTTGAAATGAGTTCTAAGCTTCTATTTTTCCGAATGTAGGTGGATTAGAAAGCTTTCAAGAGTGTGGCAGGTTTGGATCCTGGCCAGGAACACTAAGCTCAGACCCATGTCACATGGGACCTTCCTTTATCCCTGACACGTCTCTGGACATGTGATGTGGGAAATCACTATGATTCTTTGAGAGGGGAGTTGCCATGACAATAATTAACTGGTGACCTTGGGGAAACACAAAGATATTTGTGAGCCTCAGTGACTGCAGAGAATAAATGAGAAGGTTTGGCTGGATCGGCGGTTCTTAAAAGTGTGTTCTGAGAGCTGTGCCAAGAAGCCCAGCTTCTAAAATTTGGCAACTGTGGGCTTTCACTAATTCTCACTTTACTACTTTATGTAAGAGATTGAATGATATCAAGTTTTAGCTTTTCTCCCAGGCATTTTTTGAAATCTTTACCCCTCTGTTTGTATTGATTTTTTTTGGAGAGGAAATAAGGGGAGAGAGAGAAAGAGAAATATCAATTGGTTGTCTCCTGCACTCACCCAGACTGGGGATTGAGCCCGCAACTGGGAATTGAACCTGCCACCCTTGGTGTATAGCACGATGCACCAGCCAACTGAGCCACACGGGCCAGGGTTCATGTGACCTTTAAGACCAAATTTTAAAATGTATGATTTGACATAACTATTTATTTCTTGGATTAGCTGAGTACGTTTAAGAGCAGACTGTGTTTACCCAACCTAAACTTCCCAATTTTCCGCAGATCTCGNATTTCTTGGATTAGCTGAGTACATTTAAGAGCAGACTGTGTTTACCCAACGTAAACTTCCCAATTTTCCGCAGATCTCGACACCTGAACCCCTCCTCCAAACATTGCTACCTGGGTCTCCGTGGCATGACCTGCACCGCTCAGACGGAGCTGCTGGGCTCATGTCAGCAGCCGTGGTGGCTCCGTGTCCTGGAGGAACACGTTCTCTGTGCCACCCCACAGCATCCGTTGCTCGGTCCTCACGAACAAAGCTGATTGTGCGTGTGCCTGATGCCTTCGACTCTGCAGACAGGAAGCCCTCTGGGCTTTGGGCGGTGGGCTATGTGGGCTCACCGGTTCTAGCCTCACCCTCCTAGCGACTTTGGCTTAGGAATGAGAGTATGACCCTAGTTCTGGTCAAATAGTCGGGAAGGGGCACGTCCTGATCGCTCCTGGAGAAGTGCCCTCAATTTTAACAGGGGCCTCAAGGATGGGTGTGCTCCTCCCTTTGGGTCCGCCTGTGTTGGGAGGGCAGCTAGCTCGTGATGAGAGGGTGAGGGGCTGGGGGCAAAGGGCACAAGCAGCCGGAGCCTGCCCAGGGAGACGGGTGCGGGGCCCCGGGTGCGGTCTTGCAGCTGCTGGCTGCCTGTTCCGCAGTGTTAGGCAGGTCTCCTCAGGTCTCGCTGCAGCTGGAAGCACCTCTCCTGACATGGCGGGTGGTGCTGAGCTGAGTTCTCTCCACAGCCGTGTCCTTGCGAAGCTCTTCGCTGGGCTCTGGGCCCAGGTGGAGGAAACTGAGGGTGAGGGGTGTTCGCCCGTCCCCGAGGGTGCCCCGCCTCACTAGGGCTGCCCCCTAAGTGGAAGGAAGGGGGTGTGGGGCTGGTGGGAGAAGGATGGTAGGGCTTATTGCAAAAGCAGAACGTGGGGGATCCCAGAGAGCGTCGTCTTGAAGAAACTGCAGACTGAGAGGCAGTGCCCCTCTTACCGCCGGTCAGCCACCTGTGGAGCTCTGTGGGCGAAGGAGACACCTGGCTGGGCAGACACTTGCTCAGACCTCTCAGAATCCCGGGGAAGATCGCAGGGACAAGGGCAGAACCCCTGAAACGGGAGCTCACTGAGAAGGTGCCGAAGCTCCCAGGTAGGGAGCCTGACCCTGCAGGCGCCGGTGGGCCTGGCGGG